GTTTCAATTGGAAGAGTGATTATCTTTATATTCATGTGAAGTTTTTACAATACATCTACTTATGACAGTTGCATTTAGAAATAGAAATGTGATTTTATTAGAGCAAAAGTGAAATATCAAGTCCATAGGAAAGGGAATACACAAAGTTGCAGAATGCTTTTCACATACAAAAAAGTCTAAATAGAAAACATAAACGGAAATGGAAGTTTTATTGCAATGTCTGATGAATCTGATATGGTTTACAATTTAAATTTCAGAGAAAATGTGTAGAGTTGTTAATATAATAATATAATTTTGAGTATGTGAACAAATGCTTAGACCCAACATCATGTTTGCTAAAATCAAATGGATTATAACAGAACAATGCAAAAGAGGAGAACAGTGGTTATAATGAGTGTTGCTTGATCCCTCCTTTCCTGCAAATTCCTTTTCATAAGGCTTCTCTCCCTCTTGATTTCAGAGGCAGGCGGGGATGGGGTTAAAAAAATATCAAAATTACCTGGGATGCACTTTTGCAAGGGAAACTAGATTAGGAAAGAATAAAGCTCCTTCTCAACGACTGTTTGTTGGGCAATTGCTCCTTATCCCCTGCAGTTATAAGAGGTTTCTGATTAAGAGCCCAATGTTTCTCATGTATCTAGTTCTGCCCTTAGTAGCTATTAGCATTATTCATATAGTGTCATCTGTGTGCAGGCATTTTACAAAGAATGAGAGGGTCTGTTCTCTTTTGAAGTGGATTACAGTACAGAAAATGATAGTAGGGAGACCACAGAAGAAGGAGGAAATAAAGGCAGGAAAAAACAGAAGAATATGAGATTATTACAGCTGCATACTCCAATTTAATGGCAGTAGAATCAACTGAGTGAGTATGACAACCACACAGGCTTCTGTCAAAGCATATTGACTTGATTTACATTTATCTGGATTAGAGCCACTGGGTACAATTTGGACAAAGTTGGGTATTTTAAAACATCTTTGATTTCAATAAGAAATGGAAGTTTTATTAGTCCTCCCCACAGATTTCAATGAAAGTTCATAATGCTTTACATAAACTGTGACTGCATTCAGTGTTTGAAATGAATGAGATCATTTCTCATCTGAATAGGTTCTTGATATAAAGATATATTTCAGCCCTGCATATTACAAAATATAGGTCAGTTCAACAGAGTAGAAGTCAAAGTGCAAACTCCTCCACATGAATTGTTAAGCTTATCCCTATTTTGAAAGCCATCAAAGAGGATTACTTACCTGTTCAAGCAAGAGAAGCTTTTCCTTTTACTCAAATTAACAAAAGTAGTCTTGCTGCTTCTTTAATGCTTTACTGGGTAACACTCTGCACTTCCATATTTGAAACCTGTTTATAAGAGATCCCCTGACCACTGTTCTTTTTACCTGCCGGCTTTTGGAATTAACACTGACATAGCACCTTGTAGTCCTGGAGAATAATGGAAAGAAGCAGTATACATAGCTGGTACCTGACTTAATTGGGTGGGATTTAGAGGATCCCATCCATGATCTTCCTGCTAATGTTATTAGCAACAGCTACTAATGTGGCTTGAGTCCTAACCTGAATTGTATCAGGGGCAGCAAAGAAAAGTTCCAAGCAAAATGTAGGCATTTCTCCCTCTGCTGGTATTTTTTGACAGCACAATAGCTTCTTGATGCACTGTTGTCATTGTGCCTTCCTGCAAAATACACCAACCATATAATATTGCCAAGGTGGGAGAAATGGGCAGTATTTGCAAAACTGCTTGTGTTAATATTAAATTATTTAACTTGCATGTTGGTCATTAAATAATTTAACATATATGCCTTAAAAAGAAGTGGAATATGTTTTTAAGGGAAGTCTGTCACTTCAGGCACTTTATTTTTAGCAATAATAAAGAGACAAAAGGAGAATTAGGATCAAGGCTAAGAAGAAACAATATTGATCTCAAGCTTAGTTTCATTGACCAAGGAGAAGAGAAAATAGAAAAGCCCTTCGGAAGGAGACAGGGAAGGTGTCCCAAAAGACTGTGTAAACACTCTGCACAGCTGTGTCAGAGACACTTCTGCTGATATTTTCTGTTTTCCCTTCAAATCTGCCACTATTTTTATCACATTTTTATAGGTAGCCTAATTAATTCTACTCAGTAAACTGCCCAAGAACCATAGAAAACCCAGTCTGATGTTCTTCTACAATCCTGAGAGGAAAGACGAAAAAATAAAGTGTGAAACCATGGACTGTCAAAGGACTGTCATTAAAGGGGGGTGGGGTTTGTAAAATGCAAGTAAAGGGTAATGAATGTTATCAAGATTAGCAGATGACAAGGTACTTGATGTACAATGAGAGTAATCCAAAATTTGTAGGTGCAACTTTCAGTATGTTTCACCAAGGTAAAATGTAGCTTAATTTAAAAGGGATAAATGTTGAAACTTAGGACTTCTCTTGCAAACCTGATAGCGATATATGAATAATAAATGGTAATAAATGGACTTTTTATGTCATGTGTTTAGTTTGATATAAATATTGCTTTAAATATATTCATTTTGAAATAAGTGCCATATGGTTCTAAATTAGTCAATTACTTAAGTGGGATTTAACTGTAAAAGTTAAAGTATAATCCACAAAATATTTTCTGAAATACAAGTGATCAGCTTTTCTACTGTTGTAAGGTTGGATGATCTAATAAGATGTGATACTTTCGAAGCTCTGCAATTTGCAGTAGTTTGGTCTGATTTTGATGCACAACTGCTTCCCCCATGTTTCAGTATTTAAATAATATCTGGGTTAGAGAATACAACAATGATCAAAAGTTGTCATGGCATGTCAGTAGAAGAAGATGGGGAGGAGAAACTCCCAGAAAATGTGTGAAAGAGAAATAAAGAGGTATTTTTTCATGTCTCTTTTTCCTCCATCTCTCCCCCTAAATTTGAATTAGAAATTTGTAGCTGAAACCTTTCCAGTCAGTATACAGCAACCTCATCCTGCATGCCCTTGCAGGAGACACAAGAGAAGAAACTGAGCTAAAGTCAGGAAACAAGGCCAAACTAATAAGGCAATGATTAGCTCTCTCAGCATTTTGGAACTGAGACTGGCAGTTCAGATTTGCCCATCCTTGATGTCTCAGAGGGTTGCATAGCCAGATATTGATGCTGAGTGGCAATGGGAATGGGAATGGAAACTAACTAGTGGCTTATGGGAGGACTGAGCTGGATCTCTGCAGCAGACCCAAGTTGTACTAAAGGAGACAATAGCCATTTTACACATTACACTGGGGTCTATCAACATCAAAGCAACTTGAGCATAAACTGTATTTATTAATCCTCAGTGATGACTTAGGTTTTTCATCTTTGCCTTCCAAAGCTTCAGTTGGAGGTGATTTCTAGATCTAGCAATAGCAATAAAACTTAGACTTATATACTGCTTCATAGTGCTTTTACAGCCTTCTCTAAGTGGTTTACAGAGTCAGCATATTGCTCCCAACACTCTAGGTCCTCATTTTACCCACCTCGGAAGGATGGAAGGCTGAGTCAACCTTAAGCCAGTGAGATTTGAACTTCCGAACTGCAGCTAGCAGTCAGTTGAAGTAGCCTGCAGTACTGCACTCAGTGGTGGGTTGCCCCCGGTTCACACTGGTTCTATAGAACCGGTAGTAAAACTGGTGGGAGGCTACGACCCCGACATCATCAAAATGCTTCTGTGCTTGCACAGAAGAGCATACGAGCGAAGCGAGCGTGCGCGGCCCCATTGCAAACCGGTAGTAAAGGTAAGTAGAACCCACCCCTGACTGCACTCTAACCACTGTGCCACCTTGGCTCTTATCTAAGATCTGAATTCAGTTTGGATTTTGGTGGAATGCTTTGTGGGGCTGGGTTTACTGGCAGTGTTGCTCTTTACTCTCTCCCAAATGGGAAACATGGGGGACAGGGATGGAGAGATAAGGTCTTATCCTAGTTTATTTATACAGTATAGTTAGTAGTTTTTTCTCCTTTGTCATGACAACCCTCCCCAGATCAATATGGAAGTCAATCCTGTAACAGTCCCATTGGATTGATTGTCATGGTGCCTGGACTTTCTACCTGGTACTCAATGCTCTATGTTCAGGTGACTGACTACCTTCTCACTATCCAATAACACCCACCCCACAGCTTTTGTTTTTGGAGTTCTAAATTTATTTTATTTTATTTTTAAAAATAAAATAAGGTTACATTAGAACATTTCTATTATTCTACTTAATGCATTTTTTATTCTGTAGATGTACTGTAGTTGTCTTTATTTCTATCAATTCTTTCTCCTTGATTTACTGTATGTGCAAATATGAATTAGGAAATGCTAAAATGATGATGGAATTATACATGTGGACTATATAAATATAATATATACAGAACTATATAATTATAATATTCTGGTAAAGAATTATGAATGGTGTGATATCAAAATACTTTTTCATGGTCTTTTCATGATATAAGATTGTGTATGCATTCTTCAGTAAAACAATATATTTAAAAAAACCTTCTATGATGGTGAATTGTCTCTATATCAATCCATTTTATACATACATGCTGATAATATAAAGTGGAGGAAATCTCAAGTGCAATAAAGGCTAAAATTTTAAAAATCATTTTAGCAAAAGCAGAATTCAGTATTAAAACAGAGCAACCCCCAATAACAATAAAGAACTGGCAAAATTGCTCATCCCTGGCTGTTATTAAAAGAAATATTGATACTGGCTGTGAGAATCAGTTGCATCTATATGTGTTGGAAGCCATATCCCTTTTTAACACGCCAAACTTACAGTACATGGTCAAAAGGGGTGGGGCTTTGATCATGACACAATAGTCATTCACTTGATTTTTTTTTATCCCTTCCATCAAGACATCCTACTTGAGATGGGGGATATTCTTTTTGTTTTGACCTTTTGTGTTCTGAACTATGTTTAAAAATCCAACACAAGATAAATTTATGGAGATATAAAAATATGCCTTAAAATATTACTTTGTTCTTGGTTTTTTTATAGGTATCTGGCCTTCTGAAGAAATACTAGCTTACTACTGCCTCAAGCACCAGGAAATTTTCAGGTATGAAACCAAGACCTAAAAGACCATTTTCAATCCATTACTATTTTATTTGCATAGCAAAATTTGCTAGGATTTAAATCCTAAAACTCAGTTTTTAAAAAATTCAAGGTGAAAGCGTATTACAAAGAATTGGGAGCTGCCTTTGGGTACTAATATTGCATAGCAAGCTTTCTGCTATATGTCAAAGACTTTTGATTTCCACTCAAGGCATTCTCTTTCACTTTGATTTTTAGGAAACAAAAGTGAGGCATCAATCGATTGATAGTGATTGTGAAGTTTGGTAGAAAAATAAAGACATTCTTTACTCTGACCTCTATTCTGAAAATCAGCAAAATGTTCTCTAAGAAGATAGGTTGTATTTTTAAAGCAAAACTCTGGCATCAGAGAACTCTGTTTTCTCTCTTTTATCATTATGTTTCCATATATTTTTCATATGCTTCATCAACTCCCCTGCTCTCCATCTTTCTAGGAATGCTGGTACAATACAGAAAAAATAATAGGTTAGATTTCTCAGTTTTGATGGGCTTAAGAATTAGCATTTGGAATCCCCTAGGGACAGTCAGAAATACTGAGTTGAAGAGACTCCAGTGAAATAAAAGCAGGTTGATTTTTATAGCCATTGGCAAATAGTGTTTCTCACTGATAATTCAAAAGATTGCACACATGTTCATACTGGTTTTATTTGTCTGAAATGGTATAGGGTTTTCAGCCTAAGCAGAGGGTTGGACTAGAAGACCTCCAAGGTCCCTTCCAACTATTCTATTCTATTCTATTCTATTCTATTCTATTCTATTCTATTCTATTCTATTCCTTCTTATTGCCTAGATCCGTGATGGCGAATCTATGGCATGTGTGCCACAGGTGGCACGCGGAGCCATTTCTCCAGGCACGTGAGCCGTTGACCTAGGTCAGCTCCACCGCGCATGCATCTTGCTCAATAACTGTTATCCCTCAACATACATGTTAAAGAAAACTTGAGGAGTAGAGTAAGGTGGAACCACTTTAATGGAAAATGATATTGTGGTATTTTGTGCCATCTAACTGTACCTTAAATTGGATTGGACTTGCAGCTTTTTCTCGCCAGTAGATGACATTGCCAGAAAGAGATCCTGTCACAGTTCTCCAACAACAGCTGTTATATCATGTAAGGATCCTCCTTCTTGCAACTGTGAGCTAAGGGTGAAGATTCCAGCCATGTGTATGACAAAATTTCAGCCATGGGCCTGTCTAAACAGATACAGAATCCTCTTCCAGGATAAACCCTTATAGGGAGTTTTGTGGCTAAAACCATGATTCTTGGATCTGAGGGTGTGCTAGAATAGTGCCACTAGGGAAACCAGTTTATTCTCTGGGAGACTTGAAGCACAAATTGCTGTTTCTAGCTGTCAGCCTTGGCATCCACCAATAATACTGTCATCACAAGTATCACAATTTGAAAGCTATATGACCAGTTCATATAATCAATGGACACTGATGAACCAGCAAATAAAAAGGTCATCTTAGTAATGGCTAATATATGGATGACCCACTCTAAATTCTGAAAATTGAAGTCCACAAGTCTTGAAGTGGCCAAGGTTGGAAACTCCTGCCTAGCCTACATGAGAGACAAATGAAATGATTAACATATGAAGACTTCTGGGTGAAATTTTGAAAACTTGTGTGAAATATTTGTGTATTAAAAAGGCAGTAATACATTTCTATGTGAAGTTTGCCAGGTTCGGCTCCTTGAATTCCTTACATTGTACGCTCTACGTTGTTTTGGGTCATGGCAAAGATAGTTTGGCTGCTAGTTACAGTCATATTTTCCTTCCTCTCTTCAGCATTGCTGTTTGACTAGTGACTGTTAAAGGAGGTTTGAAAATTAGAGCTACAGGGCAAAAAACCCTAGAATGAAGGCCAAAGTGCTTGTTACAATGATAATCAAACTTGTGACAGGCATATTCTTGGAGTGTATTCTCAGCAATTGTGTATTGGAAATCTATTCCGTTGCTGCTACTTCCCATTCATAGTTTATTGTTCAGATGTCCCACCTGGCCCTGGCCCTCTGCAATGTCCTTCCATGAATACTGCATTGTATTCTGTGATGACCTAATTTCCAACAGCGCACACGCTTTCTTATACAGCCTATGCTATACCCATACATGCAGTAAATCCAGCTTTAAAAAGCTCTTCTTAGGTTTTTTTCTTTACTCTTTTTCTTGGGTCACCCTCCTCTGCCTCTTTGCATATTTTTTACTAAGGAAAATAAATCCATATGCTGTCAGTTAATAGGCACCTTTAACTTCAATAACCTTGTTCCATCTGGGAAAGGTAATAAAAAACAAGAGACAGTCTGTTAAAATGGTCAACTCACTTTTCCTTCAGCTGAATTTAGCAGGTCTCTCAATCCAAACATGTAGCTGGCTGCAAAAACAAAGTGCACCAGGAGAATAAAACATCATACATCTAGGAAAGCAATACAGGATTCCAAAACAGAGGCTGCCAGATAAGATATCATTCCTCAAAAGGGATTTTTTCCAATAGTAATCAAATTCACGAATGGTATCTGCCTACCTTTACGCTTGCCAGAATAGGCTTGTCTGCATAATTACAGAAAATCAGAGGACTATCCAATATACAACAAAGGTGCAGACTCAAAAGAAATTTACCTTTACAACTCTGGGTAGTTTAGCAGAAGCCCCAAAAGAGCCTGAAAGTAAAATATATCATTTCAATTAAACAATAAATAAATAAGATAACAATTCTTCACTTAGTGTCCTGGTAATCACCATTCTCACGAGCCTTTATTTGGCTGATATTCTAGCTCGGACTTCATTTGCTTCAGCCAGTTCTTCTGTCACTAGTCCCCTTCATGGCTTCCATGATGACCACCATTTTCTGCCTCCATCCCCCAATGGCAGTAACTTCTAAGAGAGCTGTACTCACCACTCACTATTACTTCTGTCATTGTCCAGGGGCCATGCAATTGTTTCCTTCATCCAGCATCCAACTTCTGTTTGGAGTCTTGCTTTCCCATCCTTTACCAATCAGTCTTTTTTCTCTATTCCATGAGTGTTGACATACTTCTTTCCAATTCACTTCCCCAATCCTATTCATTATTCCTTCCACACAATCTGTATTCCTTCATCAAAGCTGCATCACTGCTGCCCCCTGTAAAATAAAATTGAACAAAACAAATCTTCCATTAAGGTCAACAATTCTCTAGAATATGCATGCATACATTACAGAAGCATTTATTTGTTTGTTTGCTTGTTTATTCATTTATTCATTCAGTTTAAGTAATTTGCATGGCTGCCTAACTCACAAAAGTACAACAATCATACAGCAATGAAACATCATTTGTTACTCTGCTCAATAGCAAAACCAGCTCGGAATTAACAACAATAAAACATATACAGTATGTCACACCAACATACAGAATACTACACCTCCCAGGACTAACATCCTGCCCCAATCTTAAGATTCAGCCAGGCCTTCAAAGTCTTCCTGAAGACTAACAGGATTGGGAACAGTAAAATCTCAGTGGGGAGATCATTCCACACAATGGTTGCCACAAAAGAAAACATTAAATCAGTAAGTATAAATCTAATTTAATATATTTATAAAAACAGACTTCAAACATTTTTGTTAAAATAATTATTATTTTCTCTTTAATTGTACACAACATACAGAATCCTTTGAAAATTCTAAGTAGCAGATGTGCTTTCCTAATCTGTTTAAGGGGCTTATGTGGTGTTTTTATGTTTTTTTCAATACCTGAAAGGAGAAAAAGTCTCATTAGTAGGCATATACAGATGATGAGAAAGAGCCTAAAATTATAAGAATTTTTTAAAAATAAAACTGAATCGGAAGAACTCAATAAATCATTATTGTAAATGCTATTTCATGGGAGGAAAGCTATCTATAGGCATTTGTGGCATTTGATTTTTTTATACCTCATAATAGCTAGAAATAATTTATTTCTGTTTCTAAGAAATAATTACATATCATTTGTATTTAGAGTTAACAAGAAATGAATAGCAATAACAATAGCACTTAGACTTATATACCGCTTCACAGTGCTTTATAGCCCTGAGCGGTTTACAGAGTCAGCATATTGTCCCAACAATCTGGGTCCTCATTTTACCCATCTCGGAAGGATGGAAGGCTGAGTCAACCTTGAGCCTGGTGAGATTCGATCTGCCAAACTGCTGGCAGCCGGTGACCAGCAGAAGTAGCCTGCATTACTGCACTCTAACCTCTGCGCCACCGCGGAATAACTAGCCTTATGTGAATAAGTAAGCATGCTTCAACCTTGGGCCAGGGGTGGATTCTACTTACCTTTACTACCGGTTCGCAACGGGATCGCGCTTGCATTTGCATTTCTGAATATATTGGTACCAAATACTCTCATGTACCTTCCTAACTTTTGGAATTCTGAGACTGTATTATCTTCTGCAGATGTCAGAGCTAACTTGTTCAGGCATGAGAATCCCTTTTGTTCACAATGAATAGTCCTACATAATATACAATTAGGATATCAATCCATACAAAGGACATATTCATGTACTATAAACATGATGGAGAAGGATACTGAGAAATTCTGTGGCAATTGCAGATGTTGGCAGTGGGCCTTTTCCTTTTTTCCCCCTTTGCTATTGACAGAGTCAAAAAGACTATTTTCTTTCAGCTTCATGAGTTTAAATTTAGTTGTGTTTTAGTCTTCCTCGCTTTCTTTTAGCAGATATTAGCTACCTGTTTATATATCTCTTTGGTGATTAAGTCCATCTTCCGTTTTCCATACAAATCCATATTAATTCTTTGCTCAGTCAAGAATACCCTATGCATTCCCAGCAATATGCTACCATTACCCCATGTTTTTCTCATCAAAATGGTGGGCTATTACACTCCCAGTACCTTATTTTTTAGAAGTTCCCACTCTTTCCGTGCTTCATTTGATCTGACGATTTCCTTCCATGGGATCTGCCTAATACTTGTTGAAATTAGCTCTAAAATGAATA